GAGAGAGAGAGAGAGAGAGAGAGAGAGAGAGAGAGAGAGAGAGAGAGAATAGAAAATAGAAAGGCGACGACAGCAGTTACACGTGCATTTTCATTAATTTGCATGCAAAAAAGAAATAAAAGTGCAAGAACTATTAAAATACTTGCGATTAAAACACTGCAAGTAGCTCGGCAAGCATTCAAATCTCCAAAAGCACAATCATACATTGTAGGTGTAAAAAGTTTCGATAAAAAAAAAAAAAAAAAAAAAAAAAAAAAAACTGACCAATTGATCGTTTTGACTCGTAGTTGAAGGGTCGAGCCAAGTTCCAGTAAAATAAAGCAAAGTTAATCGAGTCCATCGAGCTAGGTTGAGACGACATCTTGTCGATGGCGGAAGGGGAAACAAGAGATGGCTACGGTCGAGGAGGATCGAATCAAAAAGAAAGAAAAAAAAAAAAAAGAAAAAAATACGGGAGGGTGGACGAAGGGGAAAACGCGAGCGTAGAGGAAACGAGAGCGATGAACGAGTTAAAAGAGACGAAGAGATTCGATTGGAGAGGGGTTGAAACGATTAGTCACCACGATTTTATCGACGCTATCCCAAGCGGGCGTGGTTGGCAAATGGTGGGGTTCTTGTTTTTCGACAATGTCTTGTTGCTCTTGCTGATCCGACGTTGAAGCTCCTTCCCAATTGCCTCTCATTTTGTCGCCCTGTTTATCAAAGGTAAACAACAGATTATTAATCGCGTTTAACCACGAGCTCGGTGTTGCTTCGACACTTTTTTTTTTTCTTCTTCTTCTTCTTCTTCTTCTTCTTGTCGAACGTCGGGCATGTTTGAGCAGGAATTCAAAGCAAGCACATAATCGAACCAAGTAACGATGGAACGTCGTCGTCGATACTTTAGATTGTTATAACTTTGTGAAAAAAATATCGCACAATAAATAAGTCCATTCGATCTCACTTCAAAGCATGAACTTTCTATTTCTGGTTCTCTTTTCCTCGGAGATGTTTTTTCGAAAATTGAAAAATTAAAAAAATTCAAAGGACTGTGAAAGCATTGAAGAATTTTGTTTATGACACAGATCTACCGATTCTTGAAGACTCGCTTTAAACCTTATTGATACGATCTTTCTCCGAATTAAACGACGAAATGTTCGAATTTCTTGACAGTATTCCCGAAGATGTTTTTAAAAATTGTAAAAAGTGAAATTTATAAAAATTCAAACGGCTGCGAAGGTATTGAAAAATCTTTTCCCAATTTTTTATTTTATTATACTACGGACATTAAACGACGAAATGTTCGAGTTTCCGAAATGTTCAAGGTTCAATAAAGTGGCGAGAAATAATCATGCAGCAAGATTTAAAGGATCCCTTAAGAATAAAGAGGCTTCGATCTCCTCCACGAACATTGTGCGTCTGATCATGAGGAAAATATTTCTAAGCTACTTTTTATCGTTCGATTCTCCTTGTTTTATTTTTTAGCGACAGTATAATTTACTATTCCAGTAATTATCCGAACTGTTGTTACGCGACAGAGAAAGTAGAAAGTAAAGGAATAAACGCGAGAATTCAAGGATAAATTTCGAAAGTTGAAAATTTGTTTAAAGAAAAACAAAAGAGGACTGCTCGACACGAACGAATCAATTTTCAGATACAATACGGCCTACGTGAAGGGTTAGCGTTTGCTATGCGACAGTGCGAATTTCCTTGAAGAACGGTACAGACTGTGGCATAGGCCTAGCCTGTACTTATTCTAAAGCAAATTCCGAGTAAAATCATTTCATGTTTGCCTGTTGTCCTCGTCGTCCTTTCGTCTCGCGTCTGTTAGAAGAACGAATCACCTTCGATGTATGGAAATAGAATAAATTAATTTAACTTGTAGCAAGAGAAAGAGCAATAATAAAATTGTTCCGATCGTGCCTGTGATGGCTCGACGATTCCGAGAAACACGAGAACGACATCCTACGTATTAAACAATCATACAAAACCTAATCAATCATCCTAATTAATCATCACTTGGTCAATTCTGTTGATCGAAAAAATTTTCAACAAACTTATTTTTTCGATCGTCGTGCGTTCAAGTCGTACCTGTGAAAAAGAAAAAAAAGAAAAAAAAAAAAACAGACCTGACAGAAATAATAAAAATTTATTTACTGTCAATAAGTAATAACCGTAAGGTTTCAGGATTACAGTTCAGTTCATTTATCAAAATAGGGCACGCAAGTGTTAAAAGATTTCTGTTTCTTGACTTTCGCATGGAAATCCTATTGTCCGTTTTACCCCGTACGAAGATGGTCATAAATAAACCTCGAAGACTGTCATCTTTTTCCAGTTGTTCTGAGCTACCCGGGAACCAAGGTGAAAATAAAATAACCTTTGCGGGCAACGACGTTCTACTAAACCCTTAAGCCCTTGGGCTGCATGCAAATGGGCTCGGGAAAATCGAACATCGTCACCAGATTTCAACTGGCAACGATGACGGAGATCTTTACTCTAATCTTACGTGATGTTAATTATTACTAGGTAAGGTGTAAACCTTATT